TCCTCTCTCTCCTTCCTTCCTCCTCCTCCTCCCTCCTCCCTCCCTTACTTACTTTGGCTCCGTCTGCTGTCACGTCGTAAAAGTAGAGCTTGCCTTGGATGGCCTTTCTAGAAATCCGCCCTGCCAGCGCAACAGTCACCTCGTCTTGTCTGCAATTTAAATTTTGACCGGAAGTAACGTCATTTAACCCGCCAATTAGCACGGGAAGCCTTGGCGCTTTCCTCCCTCCCTTCCTCCCTCCCTCCCTCGCTCCCTCCCTCCCTCCCTTCCTCCCGAATCTCAGACGCCCACTCCTTCCCTGCCTCCAACCCCTTCTCCTTTCCCCTCGCCTTTCACTCACTTTCTTCCTGACTCCAACCCCGCATACGCGTCCACAAACGCTGGAATGCCCTGGGTGACATGGAACTTATGAGGGTAGGGGCTCGTCCCCGCCGCTTCCATCTCGGCAATCATGCGCAAGCGGGCTTCGAAATACTGGGACGGCGTGAGCTCCTCCTCATTGTCGCCACCATCTGCTCCCGCTTTGCTCCGTGTCGCGGGGGCGGGTGCAGCGGCTAATTTCTCCGCTTTCGCCTTGGCAAGGGCCTCCGCCTAGAGGGGGGAGGTAGGCAAATGGAAGGATGAAGATCAAAAACCCAAAATTGCAGCCACTTGTAATATCCCAGCTATGGCTTGTTAGAGCAGAAAAAAGGGCTTCGACGAAGAGGACGATGGAGTAGGGCCCGTCAAGAGGAAGAAGGGGGGGTACGAAAGATAACACCAACCTTCAATTTCTTTTTGAGGGCGTTTTTACTCAGAGGCTCTCCTCCGTTGCTATTTGATTCGTCAGCCATACTTGCCGATTTATGACGGGCTTCTCTGTTTTATTTGACAAGAAAGTTGATGTTTGCCGCAAGGCTGATGGGTATGCTTATTTCTAGGATGCTGAAGCTGAGTGCTGTAAGCATTTTTTACACATTCAAAAATCGCTACAGATGTCCCGAAAGTAATGAAGCATTTCAAAATGTCCAGACAAACGTAATTGACTTGCTAGTTCATGAATTTGGTGACAGTAAAAATGCGCGGCGCTCAAAAGAAGAAATTGAGACCATCCAGCAAGCACTTGGGGGTGGGGAGGCGAGGAAACGAAAGGATGATAATACGCACACAAGCGCAGCAGCCCGCTGCACCAAGTCGCACTCAGGCGAATATATGCTCACACACAGTGTGAATCTACCACGAGGGAATGCATCCACGTCCCGGCCTTGTGCATTTGGTCAAACGCACAGGAGGATCAGAGCCGATGGACTCGCGCGCCGTCGCCCCGTATGAAATGTCGGGCAGAGGTCTGAGAGCTCTGCCCCGATTCACGCCTTATTTGCGACACGAGGATGCGGGTGTTAGACTTTTTCTTGGCACAGCTTTGTAAGCTACCGTATATTTCTATACCCTGCAATTTGGGCTGAGTTTTTAGATGTTTTTGTGTTGATAAATTTACTCAACGACGCTGCAGCATGCTGTTCGTATGGAGAGTATCCGAATGAGCTCCCTCTGTGCACGACAGTAACCACCTCTATGCCTAATCTTCGACCAACATTTGCATAAGTCATACACATATAATTGTTAGAAGTGCCCTGAATAGGGGATTGGTAAAATTGGCGCTATTTGGGGTCGTCAGCTTTCGAACATCCTGGGACCTCCTCTCTTCTCGCCCATATTCTCACGGACTACGCGCAGGACAGGCGATATTGCTTGCGTATGCTATCCCACAACACACCGAGAGATCTTCCTACAAAGGTGTTGCCCTCTGCTCCCCTTCGACCTCCCGCTCGACTCTCTTCTCTCTTTTATCGCACCCCTATCGAGCCCCGCGCTATTGGCAGTGCTGCGGAGCGTCGCCGTCAGCCCCGGCCCGCTTTGTCATGCAGCTGCAAGAAAAGCAATTGCCTCAAGTTGTACTGTGAATGCTTTGCCAACGGAATTTATTGCGATGCACGCGAGTGGAAGGTGGAGGACGAAAAGGAGCTCGGAAAGGAAGGACGGGACGATGCCTGTCGCTGTAAATGCGAAGGCTGCTACAACAACCTGCCTCACGAAGCGATAAGAAGGGAAGCCATTGAAGGCATTCTGGTTCGGAATCCTGACGCATTCAGGCCTAAAATTTTGCAGGCTGGTGTTCCACAGTCGGACTTGAGGGGCGAGATCAGGGTCAAGAAGGAGGAGGGAGGGGAAGGGGGGGCAGGGGAGGGGGGGGGGGCGAAGCGACTGGCATGAAGAGTGGCGACGGTGTCCCCACGACAATACAGCACCAAAAGGGCTGTCACTGTAAACGGTCGCACTGTTTGAAGCGGTATTGTGAGTGCTTCCAAGCCGGGATCGCATGCGGGCCCCGGTGTAGGTGCTCCGAGTGCCGGAACAGCTTGGGCTCTGCGGCGGGGACGTCGTTGCAGGCGGATGGACCGGCGACCTCCGACCCACTACCTGCTCCATGCATGGATACGAAGTGGGGATGTGGTATTGTGGGCAGGGAGGCAGGGAGAGTGGGAGGCGAGGGCCCGGCCAAGCGCCAACGCCTCGAGGTGGGAGTGGAGGAGGAGGAGGAGGCTGGGGCCGGAGGGTTCGAGATACTGGACCTGTCGGAGGAGGAACGGCGGAGGCTCAAGAGGGAAGCAGGGATCATGAAGGACGTGCTGAAGCCCCAGATGTTGGACGACGTGGTCCGTTTGATGGTGAAGGCCGCCTGGGAGGAGGGAGTGAAGGTGGTGGAGGAGGAGGGGGAGGAGGGTTGGGGATGGGCTGAGGGGAATGCTCGGGGAGCAGATGGTGGGGAAGAGGCAACGGCGGCGCAGAAGGGAGGGAGGGAAGGGCAAGCAGGACAAGATAAGGACGATGACTCCGGAGGGAAGGGTGACGAGAGGGCGGGCGGGGGGGGATCGGCGGGGAAGGGGGCCGGGTCGAAGACTGAGGCCGAGCCCGGGGAAATGCTGGAGTGCCGGGAGGAGAGTCAGGAGTGGATGGAGGGGCTGGGAGGGCCGATGGAGGAGGAGGAAGGATCTCGGGCACGGTCGGTGGGTGCGGCCGTGGGGGCAGAAGCTCGCCTCCACGGCGCGTCTCCCCGGAGGGAAACGCCCGGGGTCGAGGACTCCCTCGGGCAAGGAGCGGGATCTCTCGACAGGGAGGAAAGGAGAGGGACGGATCCGTCGGCAGCCCTTCCCTCCCCCTCCGCTTCCTCGGCCTTTGCCTCCCGCCTGCTGCTCCGGCAGGAGGTGGCCGTGCTCGAGACGTTGGATGCGGCCTTGGACAAGATACGGGAAATGGTGGAGATGGCTCGCGACGCGGAATGGAAACAGGAGGGCAGGGGTGGGTGGGAAGGGGAGAGTGAAAGGGGGACAGAGGATGAAGGGTCCTTGAGACAGGGGGCGGGGGGCCGTGAAGGAGGAGTGGGAGAGACGGCTCCGAGCCTATGCACCTATGCCTATGCTAGGCGAATGTGAACTGCAGGTGAAACTGCAGGTGTACATCAAACGATATAGTTCAATGAACAGAGTCCGGTAGTGGCCTTTCTATTGCCTCTTCGCAAATGTATGATTTTTGAGGAGCCTCATGCCAGATTGTGAGGGTGGGTATCAATACTGTATGCTATCAACCCTGGGTCATCTTCTTCCGTTTTTATTCTTCTCTGCCATGCCTCTTGTTTCTCCTGTTTCCCAATCTGCCCCTTTCACAGCCCATCATAATCCCCCTATTTCTTTGCGCTAGGTCGGTAGTCAAGGATGAAGGGCTTTTTTCGCTTTGCCGTAATAAAAGCCGTGAGCTCTAGCTGCTTCCCTCTTTTATTTTCTACGACGCCCTCTTGTTCTGCCCCAACACGAGATGTTATATCAAGTCCATGGCGTCCTCTACCAGCGTATCAAACATTATTTCAACGTCATAACACGTTTTCCTTGATGTCCCACAGGCTTGCTTCTGATTATTTGAACTGATCGGCAACCTCCTGGCTCCGGCCCTAAATAAGTGCAGACTGCCGCTGAAGGTCGCTTGCAGGAGATGACATGTTTTGTCAAACAGTGTTGGGTAATATCAGGAATTTAATTGACACGTGTGCATTGCGAAGTCGTGTCGTACACCTTTTTGGAATCCTCCAATCCAATCTTTGACATGTTCTACGAGAACCCCAGGGGCCTCGCCCCGGGCAACGGACATGACTTTGGCGACTCGTCGACTAGAAGCCAAGCCTCCCTCGGGCTTTCTCGCTGAGAGGAGGAAATGCGAAAGACAAGGTGGCGCCTCATGTTTGACACGACGTTGGGCCCTCCACAATCCACAGATACGCCATGATAGCCTGCATAGCTGTGGTAGGGAAGAAGAACGAGCTCCTTTACCTCAAGCCATTCCTTGCTCAACCCGACGCAAGCAGCGACTATTTTCTCAGTTTCCATTTCATTGCCCACAGTGCCCTCGACGCCTTTGACGAGCGCAGCAAATCCGTCTCACGGCGACCTTCTCCTTCCTTTCCGTCGCCTGCATCCACCAATGACATGTTTTTGGGATATTTATGTCCGATCGAGGAATTTCGGGTCTACGGGTACAAAACAAGCACCCAGATCAAATTCCTGGCTATCCTCACGGAAAACAATCCTGTGCGTGAAAACGACCTGAAAAGTGTCTTTCAAGGACTGCACATCTTGTATGTCAGCTACTTGCAATCTCCCTTCTCACCCTTGACCGGTAAAATTACCTCGGAACGCTTTTCAAAAGGAGTGGAACGGCAGGTGGTTGTGTACAATCAAAGTATAAGCTCCAACTCCGCCCATGAAGGAGGGGGCGGTCTGGCAACGTTATCTTCATCGAGGCTTTTACCATCGACCTCTTCAATAAGTGCCTCCTTTTCTAGCTCGCTAACATCAGGCACATGAATATTTGTAAAAAGCTCTTAGGGTGTGCCGGGAAAAAAAAATATTGGACAACCACTATCGTAGCAGGGATCGGGATATTTGGCAGGATTTTGCATGTTGTATCGGCTCGTTGTCATATTTTTTTTACAACGCATTTCACAGTGATTCATTGAAATTTCTAAATCCTCTCAACATGCTCTCCTCCCAAAAGACTTGGGAGCGAGGTCGCTGGGACTATTCACGCCCCATGTCCCTCACGCCAGTATGTCAAAGAGCGCCGCACCTCCCCCCGGAGTCCTGGACTGAAGAAAAGCGTAGGCCTTTCGGACTCGGTTCAAGGAAGTCAGCTGTTGTTCCACGGTCAACCGCCCAGGCCCACCCAGCAGGTCGCTCATATCCTCCATCAGGGCCCGTCGCACGCCCTTCTCCAGCCGGGGGGCGTTGACCCGTAGAATGTTCTGGAAATCTGCCACCAACAGCACCACTTCTCCCAGCCGACGGTCGTCCAACACGGTAGTTTTCGCACCGAGGGAGGACGGGAGGGAAGGAGTGACGGAGGGAGGGAGTCGTGGTGCGAGTATAAGGAGCCTCTCCAAATCACGCAGGGTGCGCCGGAGGGAGGCATGCACCCCCGATATGTTGCTGATCCGACGTGAAGCAAGAGCACCGAACAAGTAGAGTGACATGCGGTATGCGCAGTAGGTGAGGAGAAGCGCGGGAACGACGGCGAAGGCTTGTAGGTTCACCTTGTTCGCGTTGTAGAGGTCGTCGATGGCCTCCATGGCCACCAATAGCTGGGAAGAAGACAGGAGCGGGAGCGGAAAAGGGGATTGAAAAGGAAGGGAAAGGCGAAGTGATGAGCGTACAGGCAGTTGTGTCGCTGTCCTGCTTTACAGTCGACTCCAGCATGATTTCTAGCCCCGAAGTCCCGAGAAGAATCGTTGCAATCACCATGCACACACACCGCTACACAAGCGACGCCCTTCCTCCTCCCCAGTCCAAGTCTACTGCAGGGCACTTACCTCCTTCTTCACGTACTGCATCTGGATCAAAAGCATCCGCACGATCTTCCCACTGAACACGTTCCGTACCGCGTGCCGGATCTCCTTGTCGTACTGCGCCGAGACCAAGGAGATATCCATCGCCTCCAAGGCTGCCTTTTTGGTCGCGGGGTCAATGTGGGGGTAGGTGTCGTCGATGAAATCGCTCAGCATCCTCCGCAAGCTGGCTTGGGCGTCCGTGATGGCCCCTTCGTCCGTCAATCGCTGCCGCTTGTTCAGGATCAAATCCTCCAGGATGGCTTTCCCGGGCTCCAAGAACCGGTAGGCCAAGAACTCCTCCGTGTTCTTCTTGGTCAGGGCGGCGGTGGCCTGGATACTTTCCCGACGCGACCAGAGCTCCGCCGTCGTCCGGAGGAAGAAGACGTAGGCTGCCCCCCGCAGGGTCCACGCCAGCCATTCGTTCATCTTGGGCCGGTCCAGGTCGTGGGTCTCCAAGTGGCTCGCCACCCGGTTGCGGAGCGTGAGCGCGTGCCCGATGGTCAGGGAGGCGCGTGCGCCCAGGTTCGCCCAATTCACCGGGGAAGGAGGGGCGGGGGCGGCATCGGAAGGGACGGAGGGGCTGTCCTCGGGAGCCATGGCGGGAGTTGACCCCTCCTCACCCGCCTTTCCCTCTTCCACCGCCTCCTTGTCCCGGGACCGTCCTCCCTCCCGTAAACGCCGGCCCATTTCATGGACCGCATCCCCAACGCCTTGCTTCACGGCCCTCCAGACCTTCTCCCCTCCCCCTCCCTCCACCCCTCCCTCCCCGCCTCCCTCCCTCTCCCCCCGCCACCACCGCTCCTCCGCCCGCCGCACCGGCCGGCCCACCTCCTCCATCGCCGCCTCCGCCAAGGCCACGGCCACACAGGACCACCGCACCGCGTCCCCCACCGACCAGCCCCCCGCCTGCTCGGGCCGGCTCAAGAGGTGGGCCTCCAGCGATCCGATCCGTTCCATGTGCTCCTTCAGGCGGGCGTCCAGCTCCGCCACCCGGTGGGCCTCTCGACGGGAACCGGGGTCGGACACCCCTTCCTGTCCCCCGACCTCCTCCGCGGCCACCGTCAAGGCCTCGGTCGTCTCTTCCTCCCCTTCCTCCCCCCGTCCTCCTTCCCTTCCTCCTTCTCCGCTTGGCGCGGAAAGCTGAACCAACCCCCTCCTCCCCCTCCCTCCCCCCCTCCAAACAGCCCCAAGCCGCTGTAGGCTGCGTAGGCCTCCGCACGCTTGGCGGCTTGCTGTCGGCGCTTCCACCCCCGCCGGGGCTTGTACCTGGCGTGCCAATACCTGCCCGGAGGCGGAGAGGTTGGGGCACAGAGGGGGGGGAGAAGAGGCGAGGAATGTTGAGGCAGAAGCCTCTGGGGCCGAGCCCATGATTCGTTCTGGTTTCATACCATGGCCAACACGACCTTTCTCCCTCCTGCCCTCCCTCCCGCCCTCACCGATGCGCGGCCTGGACTTTCCTGGCGGATCCCAGCAAGGCGTCTCGCGCCAAGCGGGCGGTCGCGTCCCCGAGACGGACGCTCAAAATGATCTGGCCTTGGTCGACGACGGGGAGGGAGGCCAGGGGTTGACGGAGGGAGGGCGGGAGGGAGGGCGGGAGGGAGGTGTTGGAGGAGAGGGAGTCCGTACGGAGCGCGGCGACGAGGGGGGAGGCGGCGGGGGAAGGCGGGACGGAGGGCGGGAAGGAGGGCGGGGATTGTGCGTGGGAGAGCTCGGTGACGGCCTTGGAAAGAGATTGTACGTACTCGTCCCGCCGGGTCAGGAGGCAGGGGAGCTCCAAGGCCGCTGTCAAGAGCTGGAGCATCCCCGTTTGGCTGCTCTTCGCCCCGCTCGAGGGCGATGGGGAGGAAGAGACAGAGGCGGGCAGGTACTTGAAATATTCGTGGGCCTCGCGTTGGAGGATGACGCCGTAGCGCTCGTAGTCCCTGTCCGCGGAATCTAGGTGCATGTCTCGGACGGGGCGGCGGCGCCACATCCCTTGCACTTTCCCCACCGTCCATCGAGCCAGCAAGGCCGCGCACGCGTAGGCACCGAGGGCGACGGGGAATTTGTAGGACGCGATCCGCCACAAGAACTTGCCGACTACCGCCACTCTCACACGCAGGAGGCCGGGCAGGGCCAGGGCGGCGGCTGTGACGCCGGCCAACACCCGGTCGAGGAGGAGCGGGTCCGTGAGCCCTGTCCCTTGGGAGAGGGGACCCGGTTGGGTCTTGGTCCCAGATAATGGGGCCTGTGGGGTGGACGCCGGGTTGGTGTTGTTCCCGGTGGGGGAGGAGAAGGGAGGGTGTCTTCCCCCGTCGTGGTCTTGGGGAGGCGGGGAAGGAGTCATGGAGCGGAAGTACTCCTTCATGTCCTCGAAAAAATCATCCTCTTGCCGAAGGGACGGCTGCGTATTTTGGCTTCCGTCTCCCTTGTGTCCATTTGAACATTTTTCTTCTCTGTTTCCCTCCCGAGGGCTTCCTCCCTGGTCCCGCCCCCCCCCCCTTCCACGTTGGGATCACGTGGCTCCAGTACCTTCGCGTGTCCGCTTCTGTGTTCTCTTTGGGTCCCGCTCGCGCTTTTTCATTGCCGGCGGAGGGCGGATTTGGTGGTACTGCTTTCCCCCCTTCTTTTGCCCTTGTTGAGGTTGCTACTCTCCGGCCATCCAGACCTCCTCCCCTCACGCCGTGACACCAAGGCATGCGATTTCTTTTCGCGCACGAAGCGCACGGTCAACGACGGCGACAGAGACGGCGTCGCTTGCAGATGTGAGACTACTACCCGGGAATTGCGTGTGATGGCTTGCGTAGGATGACTCTCAAGAAAGTAAATAAAAAGCACCAGGAGGAATGGGAGACCAGAACCCATCGCTTTTGCCTTCCTCCAACACCAGCACCGCGAGCTTACAAATCGGCGCATAATGCATCTAAGGGTCGTCACTCTATCAATCCTATCACCCCTGTGTCCTTTATGCATGGGTAGGCATGATAAGAAAGCGAAATAAGTGAGACATATGGATGCGGCCGGGGCCAATGCAGGGCCCATTGCTTGCCTGCAGCTCGCCGAAAAATGATATCGTTGGACCTGCGGGAATTTGGGGTTAGAAATTGTTTTACAACAAGCGTTTGTATCCCTTTTACCTAAAATTTACGGGGAAATATCAGTGTACTAAATATTGCGCTAGGGTACGACGATTTTAACCGTGAAACATCAATGAAAATATAATTTTTCTATAATCATGGGCCGAAAATTGTCTTTTTCAAGGATGATTTCGTGGAAACACATGCATGTAGACTTCGGCACTAAAAGTCTTTTTATCCCAATTACCTTCCTCAGACTAATGACGAGTGATAATGCAATTCCCACCTTGCTCCAATCTCTCTACCGGTATGAGGAGGGAAGACGAAATGCTCGGCATCATTTTCCTCTTGCGATGGCGGCTACCCTGTACGCTGAACACGGACAGAAGACATTCCGTTTCCAGCCCCGTCGGGGTAAACTCGATCTCCGGACTTTGAGCCGCCTCGATGTGGATCACATTGCAGCGCACGCGGACATAGATGCCTTGCACCGGCACGTGGAAAATTTAACCTTTGCGGCTCTGACGGAGGAAGACCTTGCCGCGCATTCGGACCAAGCCGTGGTCAAGAGTTTCCGGCTGGCCCAGCTCGCTATCGAGTACCTCCTGAACATCCAAGACTGCCTGGCGCATCAACTGGACAGAATGGCCGTGGAGTACGTTCGGACAGGAAGAAAGATGGCAAGGCTTCGGCAGCGTGTGAAGGTTGTAGAAGAATCTGAGCCTCCTGGACTCAACACCGCAGTCCTTCCGGCCATGGAGACAGACACGGCCGTCTCTTTCCCGAATTCTCCCCGCCATGGCCATCGCCACCACCACCACCGGCGTCGCCATCACCACCGTCGATATCGTAACCCTCACGAAGGGCAACGTTCGACGATCCCAGACTCCGCCGCCCCCCCCCCCAACACCCCGGGCGACATCACGACGTGCCAGGCTCCCCCCCAAATCCTTCGTCTCTACGTCACATTCGTAGATGGGAGCTGTGTGATGTTGACTGCTTCGCCGTCCCTGGTCGTGCGAGAACTCAAGGCTCAAATTCTGGAGCAATTACCCCCGGCAGCGGCGGCCCAAAAGTTCAAGTTGACGCGAAAGAAGCCGCGACTTCAAGACACTGAGGTGTACCTGAACTACTGTGGTCGGTATTTACCCGAGGACAAGACCCTGGTGGAATTGAAAGTCCCGACGGAAGCCTCCCTTCTCTGCTTGGCTCAAACCGAGGAGGAGGGGGGGGCGAGAGAGGAGGAGGCGGAGGGGAAAGCTGCATCCAGGGTCACCAGGATGGAAAGTGAACTGGCGCGCATTTCGCGTGAGCATGCAGAGGAGCAGCGACGGCTGCAAAGTGAGCAAGAGGGAGCGATGACGCTCATTCAAGAGCGGCTCTCCTCGTTTGAACAGCAAGTGTTGAGCTTTCTCGAGCGCCAGGCACAGCCGCCGCAGCAACCACAAACACTATCCGTCCATCACAACCCACCCCCTCCTCCTTCCCCTCCTCCCCTCCCTCCTCCGCCCGCCCAAGCCCCTTCAGTCCCCATGCGCCCAAGCATGGACCGCCTCAGTATCCAGGATCGGGTCTCGTTGCTCATGAGTCAAGTGGAAGGCCGGATCCTGCAGAAGGCCAAAGATACCACCTTCACGGCCACAGAAATGGCACGCGTGCGGGAACTGCGAGGGTTGCTCTCTGACGAGTTACACAGGGCAGGGAGAGAGGGTGCTCCTCTGGGCGCGAGGGAAAGACAGGGAGGGGAACAAGCCGAGAGACAGGAGGAGAGGGAGGGTGACAGGGAGAGAAATGGAACGGGTCCCGAGAGCACTTACTTGGAAAGGAGGATGGCCGTGCTGAACGCCCGGCGGTTGTGTCTGCCCAGTCGGGTCAAGGATGAATTAGATAAGATCCAGACCGTCAACAAGGAATCTCTCATGAAAGTGCCACCACCCTTCCACCCCAAGGAGTCCCGTAAAGCCCCACAAGACACCCTCCCAACGCTCTCTCCTTCCCCTTCTCCAGACGACACTCCTGCCTCTTGTCCGTTGCCCGGCTCCTTGCGCCCTTCCCTATCTACCCCACCTTCACAGCTACCCACCCAATCTCCCCTGAAGCCTCCGCGAAGACGACCTTCCGATTCCATTTTCCTCCCCAGTACACACGAGCCGGAGCAAAACGAAAGAGTCAAGCCCACGCAAGAGGAGGCATTCGACGAAGTGCATCGTCAAGGCATGAAAGGCAAAGATAATTTCGTTTTTCGTCCCAAAGATGATGATCGCCGCCAGGATGATGAAGAAAGGATAGGTTTAGATTTGTCAACAAGTCATCTATGCGGCTCGGTCGAGGTCTCTGAAGAAGGCAGTCCCTTTTCCGCTCCCAACTCCATTATTTCCTCCATAGAGCAGGAAGTGGATAAAGCTGTCTCGATCGGTGGGTCGGAAGCGGCCCTCAACAATGGCACTAACGGGCATGACGCCGTCGACTCCGAGGAGGAGGAGATAATGACAATTTTAGAGGAAGAAGACGAAGAATCAGATGTTCAGTTATCAGGGATGGATAAGAATGGGACATGAGTGAGTCACATAGAGAGATCTTGTACTAAATGGGTTGACAAAAACGTAAGCGTGAAATATAACGAATTGCTGCACAGCACACATATTCCGTCCCGCGCGTTTGCTACGTGACTCGGGTACAGTAAGATTATTCTGATATTCAACATAAAAAACAACAAGATGAACGTTATCACATGTCATCCACTCTACAGTGTAGTATGACAAAAAAGAATTGATGTCTTTTCAACAAGAATGGTAAACGCGTCTTTTAGATTGGTGGGGGGTGGGGAGGTTAGAAAGCAAAAAAAGCGACTCGACACGTACTCCTGCCAATTTGCAGTGACTCACGCACACGAATTCGGCTTTTCCTCCAATAAAGCGCGCGCAACCAACAGTCACAGGTGTAATTTGCGCGCGTGATCGTCCCGTTAACTCTTCATACCAATCAGTGGGCCCTTTCAATTCCTGTACGGATGCTCCGCTGGCTGGTCCTTCTGCCCACAAGGACAAGACGAGCAGTCCCATGCCCACTCCGATCAGTACATCAAGGGATTGCATGTGCGGTAGACGAAGGAAGAAGCCAATCAAACGTCCTCCTTTGCTGCTTGGCTTTGGCAGCCATCTCCTCAGGAACGCTCTCGTCACAAAATGAAGCGGACTCCAAATCTCGGCCGGAATCGCCCGCTTTCTCGGCCGAGTTTATAATACATGGGCGTCGACTTAACGTCCTTCTTAGCCCCTGGCTTTCTACCATTGCTGAGGATGGCCCCGCTTCAACAAACATGGACGCAGCACAGCATCGTAGACGGGACCTGACGAGTTCTTTGGCAACTCGACGAAGCGCCAAGTACGTCATCGTGGGTATGGGGGTCACGGGCTCTGCCGCTCTGCAGGCGCTCTTGGAATGTGAGCCGGATGCCGATATCACTGTCGTAGAAAGAGGGACGCAATCGGCTGACTTTGAAGAGCCGCAAGGAGGACGGGACAGGGCTCGGAAGAAAGAGAAAGGCGGAGGTCTTGGGGGCTTCTTGCGCCGAGGCCACCAGGGGAAACCTAGCGTCAAATACCTGTGGGGCACGACCGTGAATTCGCTGGACGCAGACGGCAGGATCCTCTCACTCTCGGACGGCTCCACACTGAGGTTTGAGAAATGTTTGCTGGCAGTGGGAGAGGGCCCTGTGCGGGTGCCGCCCAGGTATGTGGAGAGGGATATCGCGGGGCGCGTCACCCCCTTGCACAGAGCCGAGGACAGGCGGGTCTTGGGCCGGTCAGTGGCCCAAGGGCACCACGTGACCGTGGTCGGCTCCAATTGGGCCAGCGTCGAGCTGGCGAGCTTTTTGAGCGACGTGGGCCGGCGGCACGGCTGGGGGAGGAGCAGCGTCACCTTGGTCTTCCCGGAGTCCACTCCCCTGGCCAAGGAGCTGCCTCGGTACCTGTCGGGTCTCCTGATGCGGCGCTTGGAGCGCCGGGGCGTGGAGGTCATCCCCCACACCAGCGTCAAGTACATTGGAAGGGCCATGGCGTACGAGGTGCAGGCACTCCGTCCGTCCCAGCCCTGGTCTCCTCCCTTCGACCCCGAGGAAGACACGGGGGAGGGGCCCAGGCGTAAACCCACCGCCAACAACCGCCCTACAGAGGAGCAGGAGCCCATGGCCTCCTTTGACCCCATTCGGGTCTACTTGACAAGCAAATTCGCGAGCCTGGATTCGACTGCCCTCCTCACCGACCATGTGGTTGTCGGGGGCTCGTCGTCGCAGGGCCGGCTCCCCACCTTCGATTTCGAGGGCCATCCTTTGGAGGCGGACGCTAAGACCGGCGCCATCGTCGTTTCCCACGAGCTCCAGGCGTCCAGCAGTGTCTTCGTGGCCGGGGATGCGGCCCATTTCCCTTGCACGGACCTGGGAAAGCGGGTGAACGTCCGCTCCGCCGACCACGCCTATCACTCCGGGTGGGTGGCGGGGATGAACATGACGGGCCGAGGGGTCCGCTATCAGCATCTCCCTCTCTTCTTTGGTGCGATCCCCCGTTTGGGCGTCCGAGCGGCTTGGGTGGGGCAATGCGACGGCAGCGCCGAGACGCATGGGTTCTGGTGGAAGGAAGGCGGGAAAGCCAACGGGAGCGGGGGCACCGGGATGGCGCGAAAACGGACACGCATGGGGGAGGATGCGCCTCCGTCCACGTCAATCTCGGCCGAGGAGGAAAAAGGGCTGTCGGAGAGGGTCAAGGGTGCCTTCCAAAGCCTCCTGGGTGGCGAAAAGGACCCGAAGGGTGTGGTGGATAACACCAGTTCGGCCTTGGCAGCCGTCGGGATCGGGACCACAGGGTGGGGTGGCGACAGTAACACGGGCCGGAGAGTTGGTATCTACAGGCGGACGACCACGGACAGGGAGTTGGGGGATTTGGACGCGGTGGTGGAGGCGGAAATGGAGAGCGAGGCCTTGGCCAGGGCGGGGGGCGGGAAGAACTTCACCCCGGTGAACGGGACTGGGATCGTCTTTTTTGTGGACCCGGACGGGACGGTTCGTGGCATACTGGGGTGGGGGCTCCCACCACCTTCGACTGCAGGTGAGAAGGGGGACCAATCCGAGAGTGAGGTGCCTTCACCGTCGTGGTCTCGGACCGGCGGGGTAGGGCAGATAGACAACGTCTTGGGCGGCGTGATTGAGCGGGCCCGCACGGCGGTGGGGGATGGACTGCGGTCGGGAACCACTTTCAAATATGACATGAACAGCCGTCAGGACACCGTGTCGGCCTTGCGGGCGTTGGCGTTTGAGATCATAGGTCCCGAGGCATTGGAACAATTGGGGCCCAAAGCGCCCTTGTACACGTACAACAGCGCCAAGCTCTTGTCAAACACAGCGGACGATACTTTGTTCCGCATAAATAATAACAGCAGATCCTCTGCTGATTTGATGGAGGAGGCCTACGAAGCCGCCGTCAAAGGCCACATGCAGCCCACTCCGGGCACAAATACGGTGCCTTTTCCCTTCAACCGTTCGTAATTGACGGTAAATGAGTAAATAGAATCTGTCATGTGCATTCGACGAACAAGTGAAATCATGCACTAAATCTTGTTCTCTTTATCTTGCTTGTCGTTTCTTTGAAACTGCATCTCCTTTTGCTTGGTAAGTGCCGCGTTTGTTATTTTCTAATGTCAGAAAGTTACGAGGCTCGCCAAGTCCACCACCGTCGGTTTTACGGCTTCATAGCCTTGCCGTGTTCTTGCGTGGCAACCCTTAAATCTTATGGTGGAGCATGGAGACGTGTTCCACCCTTTGAAAATAGCATCTTCACGTTCAAAGTCATGCACCCTGTCTCTGCATTGACCAGAGCTGCATAGCCCTCGCATGAGCCGCTCTGCCGCGACTTTCTGCCCAGTCATAGACGAGGACACAGTCCTGCTACTATTTTGCGACGCGGTCGAAGAAATGGGATACCGTCGCCTCGATTTCTGATGTGCCCGGTGGGTCTTCTTGCTTTCGTCCGAAAGGAGGGTAGCAAGTAACGCGTCCAAGCTCGCTTCAGCTTTCCTTGGCTGCCAGCAGGAAGACTCACTACTTGATGTTTCAGTTGACATGCTTTTATCGTCACCTTTCTCATCCTCATTCTTTGACGTACACTTCTCACCGTCATGCTCATTTCCGCTACGTTCTTTATTCATGGCCTGACATCGCCCCACGCCTGTTGTGGAGGAACATTCTGATGGACAGGGGTCTTCAGTCGACGGAAGGCTGGGATCAGAATGCTTGATGGAAGCTAGCTTGCCGCGCAAAAGCTTATTCTCCCTCTCCCACACGAACTGCATCAAGTGAGCATATATGTCGACGGCACCATCAGGAACAGGATATATTCGCTCAAAACTCTTCAAAATCGCACCCTCGTCCATTGAAGGGGGAACTCTGTTATTGGATGCAAAATTCTCGCTTTTGTTCCCGACATGTGTATACGATGAATTCTCGGAAAGATTGGAGGGAGTGGGCGAGGAATCCATAGATGGGTAAGACGATGAAGACAAGGAAGACACCGAGGATGCAGGGCGTGAAGTTTGCACTTCATCAGTCTCAGCAGAATCATCGACGATACTTGAGGGAGAGGCACTGTGAGGCTGGAATATGGAGACTCCTTGACCACTGAAATGTTTGGTCAGGCGCCTCAGCAACGAGGCCTCACGGCCTTTATTCTTATCCATAAGCTCAGAAACCATATGCATGCGATCTGGGGCATGTTCTTGAAATAAGCGCTCGATTCTTCGCCGTGTTTGTAGAACCACGTTACCCTCGTCTAGGAAAGCGTGCAGGCGGGCTTCCGTACGGTACCGATGTCGCAAAAGGCGTTCGGCAGCCTGAGCTTTCCGGTACTCTTCGAACGATTGTTGATCGGAGGCTTTGGCTTGAATGATCTTCAAAGTCTGCTCTATCAGGTCACGCTTCACTTGCACGTCCACGGGCGAGTCCGTTGCAAAGCTGGGTAGGGTATTGACTTCGATAAGCCAAGGTTTCAGTCTTTGGTCGATCAATACGTCGACGCCCAGGATTTCAAACGCCCGTGACCCATTTACGTCGTTCTTCGAGGAGGGACTACGCCAATTCTGTTTTTCGCCGGTAGAATCTTTGCCGAAAACTGCCTTGTAGTCGCGAACTAATGTGGGCAATATTGAAATCACTGTCTTCACGCACAGCTCGCCCATTAGTTGCCACAGACGACGTCCCGCGGCTTCACCGTACCTCTCCTCTATCCATTTCAGGAACCATTTAAGGCTGCGTTTACTCCCTGTCTCATTTTGTGTCCCTGTCAGACCATTCTGTTCCTTGACATCCCCCAGCGCGTAATTGTCGGAGAATCGATTGATAGCAGCATTTGTCAAATGCATGAATTTGTCTTTCATATTTCTATTATTCGGTCGCGAGTACTCGACCGTGCAAAGCCGTACCAATCCATCACTATACTTATACATACACAGCGGCTGGCAACGCGTGACCAATACATACATGCGAATATCAAATTTGAAGTCGTCTATTAGCAGAGGTCGGTTGATGTAGACCTGCGCGACTTGTGGTTCAAATAAGGTAATAGGTTCGAGCGATTTGCTAAGAAATATTCCCCGACCTTTCGAACTATTTTCTGGTTTAATGATGTATGTGGTTCCCCGGCCAGCCTGGCCTTCACCATCAAATTCTGCACGAAAGTCTTTGGCATCTTGTGGCAAGACCCAAGTCTTGGGATAATACGCATATTCTTTCGGAAATCGACGCTGCATTTTGCCTAAATTTTGGGCCAAGCGATTCTTACGAGAAATATGGCTCATACCTGGAAAATGGTTAATCCGTTGCCACGGCGCTAAACGACTGAAACGTTCTGTAATCGTGGACACATCTAGCCAATAAATGTTTGACTGATCGTCCTCGTGAGCGATGACCCGCATGTTGCAAGACTTCGCCGCCTCTACTACAACATTATACCGGCTATCTACAGCACAAAATGTGACGCTCTGATGAGAATGCGGGAGCATCTTGCCATTGGCGCTGTGGCGGATTGCAGCGGTAGAGGCACGAAATGGAATTTCTTCGTTATCGGTAGAAATCGACTGAGGCAGAGGCGGCATTATTTGCTACCATGTGTGTAGTTGGAAATTATTCGAATTATAGAACCTGAAGTGTGAGAAATTCAATTGTTCACGAAAAAAAGCGTAATTATACACGCCCGAAATAAGCACTCAAACGAAACGGTTCTCCTATAACGGCTGGCGAACCAACGGCTTTTCGCTTGTTGACTATTGTCATTATTATTGGGTGACAAGCGTGCCATGTTCTGATAGAATATTTCCATAACATAAGGATAAATTAACAATGATGCCAGGGGTAGAAACGATAAGAAAACGTAACTGACCATTCCAGCGGGCCTAACAATCGCTAGGCTTCAGCCTCCATTGCAGGCGGACACGGATGTCGACTTCACATGGCGAAGTCTACGGTCTGAATATTGAGAATTTGAAATGACGCTTTGTTAATCTGAAATGACCTTCCATGGTACGATAGCTGGCTTTTGTGCAAGATGCGTACATGTTAGTACATTCATCGGTTGTCGCTAGCATAGTGATATGTTCATCCATCTGCGCCAGCTCTGCACACATTGTTGACCTTTCCACATTTTTTCTTTCCTGTCTCCGCTTTAAACCAGCAGCCCTTTATGCAATTTGATTCGAGTACAGTCCCTATAATCTCCGTTATTAGTTTTTGTGCTGTATCGATTTCATCTTAGTGTCGATTTTGACGATGGTCGTCTCCCGAGAGGCTCAAAGTAATTAGACAAATGCGTCGTCGCTTCCCGTGAGGCTCACGGCATCCAGTACAAACTACTTTCAAACATCTAAAACGCTGCTCCTTCTACATTGAGACCACCTCTCATCAGCATCGCATTGCGTGTAGCCCACAGGTCAACCGTATACTTTATCGTACGATGCCACATCCGTGATTGCCGTATATTCCGAAGCATGACGTCACCCATTCAGACACGAGAGGCAAGTTAGGGAGCGCTTTCATGCATCGCCTGGTTCCAGTTTTCTCAGCTGCTTTTCATTCAAAGCCTTCGTGTCCTATACTGTCTCTTCATGAAACGCGAGGTAGGAGTCAACTTCTAGTTTGTGTGCACCGTTATTCCTCCTGTCCGTCCCTTTCTCCCTCCCTCCCCAGAATTTCGAACCCTTTTTTTGCTCGGCACGTCACTTTCACTGCCTTCCTCATCCATGAAATCCTCCTGGTCCTCCTCATCCCCCTCCTCTTCTTCAACCCCCACGCCTTCCTCCCCGTCTCTCCTCGTGTGAAGCACTGGCGCTTTCTTTCTCGGCTTTCCGCCTCCCCCTGCCCCTGTATCTGACTCAAGCGCCTCTTCCTCACTTTGCAGCTCCCTG